AGGTCCCAGGGTGAGGCTGAGGGGCCAGGCTGGCAGGGGATGGGGCTAGGTGTGGGCCTGGGGGCAAAAGAAGAGGTGCAGCTAGGTGAGGCCAGAGAAGCTGTGGGCAGGGCCATCCTTGCCTGGGGGAGGCCGAATGGGCTTGGCTGAGGCCCCGGCTCAGAGAACGGACAGCCTGCCATGCAGTGTCCTATGGAGTTAAAGGCCAGTGTTAACCCCGGCCAGCACCCAATGGTCAGCACCCCAGGCTGGGCAGGACTTGAGCTTGGCCCAAGTAATGGGGGGTTTGGACTGTAAGTGAAGGTGACAGTGAGGTGGCTTGGCACCCGGGCAGGCAGGGGAGAGCCAGCAGGCCCACCTCTCCCAGCTGTGCTTGAACTTGTCCCATGCCCCGAGGGCAGCCTGACCCTGTGACGTTTCCCTGGTGGAACAGGGTCTCTGCAGACTCTTCAGGTCCCCAGGAAGCAGAGCATTGGTGGGAGGGACCCCCATCAGCAACTCCCAGGATGAAAACACAGGTTGCGGGGGGAGTGGCAGGGCCTGAAGGCCCCAGAGGCTAAGGCCAGAGAGAGCCAGGCTCTGAGGGGCAGGAGACTTTTACAGCCTCCTCCACCCCAGCGCTGGACTCAGAGCAGTGGTTTCTGCCTTCCCAAGGGCCTTGGGGCCCCAGCTCTCTCTGTAGGGTATAGAGGGGTCTGAAGCTGCTCCTGACGTCCCGTGTTTGGAAGGCTCCCCAGAGCCCTACGGCTCAGAGCTGCGGATGATGAGTGCTGGGCAGCCTCCATACGCTGCCTGCCAGAGGGGCAGTGGTTTAAGCCCTGTGTCCATGGAGAACCCAGAGGACGCAGGCATTTCTGGGGCTGCTCAGAGAAGCGCCTGGCCAAGGGGCACTTGGAGCCACACCAGACCCAGGGCACTTGGAGCCACGCCAGACCCTAGGCACTGTGGTGCGGGCTCCCTGAGAGGGAGCAAGCTTGTGCCTGCCCCAGACTCAGCAAAGGGAGGGGCCTAGAGGGCAGAAGGCAGGGCCCGGGGTAGGGGTAGGGGTCTGGGGCAGGGGGTGGGGCCCGGGGTAGAGGGAGGGGCCGTGGCAGCCAGTGTGGGCAGGGGCACTGGGGCCAGCTGGGTGAGGAGGGGGTGGCAGAAGGAGGGTGGTCTGGGCGTCACTCTTTGGCTCTGTCGTTCCTTGGTGATCTTGAACAATGTTTTAACCCCTGTG